GCATTTTCAGGGGGAAACCTTGACCTTTCTCTGCCTGCACACACCACCCTGCCCAGATTGCACCTCTAATTGGAACAAATCCAGGCACTGAAGGAAACCAGACTGGGCCTAAGTAAGATGTTTTAATGAAAAGCCCAATGAAAGTCTTTTCCCTTTTATTTTTCTTCCTGCTTTTAGGGATACCAGTATCCTTCATGACAGGTTGGGGGAGTCATGTTTTTCAGGATGATGGAAAGTTTCTAACCTGAAGGGTCCAGAAAATCTAGCCATGGGCCATTGGAGAGAATGTGACCCTCCAGCTCATGTGAGCGGCTTTGGCTTCCTTGACCGGATATTGCTGTTCCCTGACTGGCTATTCCTAGAGAAGCTGCCTATGTGTGTGCGTGCGTGTGTGCATGTGTGTGAGATTGCGTGTGTGTGTGGTGTGTGTTTATGTGCATGTGAGTGTGTCTGTATGTGTGCATGTGTGTGAGACTGTGTGTGTGTGTGGTGTGTGTTTATGTGCATGCTGGTGTGTCTGTATGTGTGCATGTGTGTGAGACTGTGTGTGTGTGTGGTGTGTGTTTATGTGCATGCTGGTGTGTCTGTATGTGTGCATGTGTGTGAGACTGCGTGTGTGTGCGGTGTGTGTTTATGTGCATGTGGGTGTGTCTTAGAAAGGAGCCCATCATGGGGACATTGGGGACTTGGCTGCTTGTGTGGGGAATTACAGTTTAGGGGCAGGAGTGGAATCATCCCGTCCCACCATTTCATTTTCCATCTGAAGGAAAAGGCCTGGAGAGGTTGTGACTCACCTAGAGTCCTCTAGGAGAGCTGCAGAGGCTAATGGAGTAGGTGGGCCTCAATGCCCAGGCCTCCTGGTTCCCCATCCTGTGAAACAAGTCCGTTTTCTTGAGCACTTGCTATGTGTGGGAGGAGGCTGTCCTGACCCCCACCCCACAGGCATCTTTTGACTTAGTCCTCTCTGCTTTCCTGTGGGTAAGACTCTTGTTATCCTTACCTTAGAAATGAGAAAAATCGAAGCTTAGGGACAGATGACCTTGCCCAAGGTCACATAGATAGCACACCGTAGGACTAGAATTTGACACCTGGTCCCGCAACCCAGGGGCCTATATTCTTCATCAGGTGTTGTCCTGTGGAGGCTCCTTCAGCTGCTTCTGTCAGTTCTCCAGCCATTGACTGTGGTCTATCACAAGTCACAGAAATAGCTCCAGAAACAGCGAAAGTGACGGATAGGCCCAGGTGAGTGAGCAGCCGAGGGAGCCCAGCTCAGCCTTGTTTCAGAAAGGAGCCGCCAGACTTTTGAGCAGTCCATGTACAGACTTTACACTCTCTCATTCACGCACCTCTCAGCGAAAACAGACAGCACCACCTCGTCACCGCACGTCCTCTCGGCAAACTCACTGCGCCTCTGAGGTGGCAGGTCTGCTGTCACCAACGTCTAGGGATTGGTTCAGAACTGTTGGTGAGGTAGTTGGGGTGGACCTGGCCTGACCTCTGTTGATCTGTGTGAGCCTGGGCAGGCTCATCAGATTATTCAACACCAAAACGGACATGAGGTGCCCTTCATCCGGGGGAGTAAATAAAATCAGGTCGCAGGAAGCGCCTAGAACAGTGTGGCACATGGCTCAGTAAAAGCCCTCCCTTAGTAACAAGTTAAATACCTCCCTCCTGTCCCCTATTTGTCCCTCCCCAGTTAAAGGAAGACTACAGCGGTGTAGATTCCTGTTGCCTCTCTTGGGTTTAGCAGGACTATGATGTGTGTGCTGGGTGCTGGGTGTGTGTGTGTATGAACTGTGCACAGTGTTCTGAATTCTTGGGAACGCCCATGAGTGGAGCTATCACATAGTGATTTCTTGGCACGCGTGGTAGGTGTTAGATAAATGAGCCTAAATGTGATATTTGAGTCAGCGCTTTTTGCAGCTTGAATTGAAAACTTGCTGAATGTGGTTCAGTCTGGTGGGACCGGGAAATGTTCTCACGCCAATGTGACTTTGGCCCTGAAAAGTTAGCAGTACAGCCTTGCAAAGTGGTTTCTTGATCACTGCCTAGTTTTTGTGTGTGTTTTGTTTGAGAGGCAACAAGCATTTATTTGAGAAGAAAGAATTGATTCAGGCAGAAACCCAAATAGTGTTTCTATTGTGATGTGAGGCAAGGGGATTTGTGAGAAGGGAAGGGAAATAATTACATGAATAGAGAAAAAAGTTCTATTGGTGATAATAAGCTGTTATTCTTTGTTTTTTTTTTCTTTAATTTTATTGTTGACTTTATTATAGATGTCCCCATCTTCCCCCTTTTGCCCACCTCCACCCATTCACCTGCCCCGCCTTCCCTCTGGTCATCACCATACTGCTATGTGTGTCTATTCTGCATATATCTTGTTGATGGTTTCTTTTGCTGTGCAGAGCTTTTTGTTGTTATTGTGTTTTAAATATATTTTTATTGATTTCAGAGAGGAAGGGAGAGGGAGAGAGAGATAGAAACATCAATGATGAGAGAGAATCATCTATCAGCTGCCTTCAGCATGCCCCCTACTGGGGACTGAGCCAGCAATCCAGGCATGTGCACTTGACTGGAATCGAACCTGGGACCCTTTAGTCCGCAGGCCGATACTCTTTCTACAGAGCCAAAACAGCTAGGGCTGCGATAGTTTTCTTAGTTTCTCTTTCTGATAGTTCATTATTGTATAGAAATGCCACTAATTTCTGAATATTAACTTTGTATCCTGCTACTTTGCCAAATTCATTTATTAGATCTAGTAGCTTTTTGGTGGAGTTTTTAGGGTTTTCTGTATACAATACGTCATCCGAGAATGACAGTTTTACTTCCTCCTCTCCAATTTGGGTGCCTTTTATTTCTTCTTCTTGTCTGATTGCTGTGGCTAGGACTTCCAGTACTATGTTGAACCAGAGTGGTGAAAGTGGGCATCCTGTCTTCTTCCTGATCTTAAGGGAAATGCTTTTAGTTTTTGCCCATTGAGTTTGATGTTGGCTGTGAGTCTGTCATATATGGCCTTTATTATATTGAGTTATGTACTTTTTCTTCCCACTTTGCTGAGAGATTTTATCATAATGGGTGCTGGATTTTATCAAATGCTTTTTCTCTGCACGTGTTTATAAGATGGTGTGTTTTTTTTAAAAATATTTTATTGATTTTTTACAGAGAGGAAGGGAGAGGGATAGAGAATTAGAAACATCGACCAGACTTTGTCAAATGCCTTTTCTGCATCAATTGATATGTTTATGTGATTTTTGCCTCTCAACTTGTTTATGCGATGTATCACGTTTACTGATTTGCAGATATTGTACCAACCTTGCATTCCTGGAATAAATTCCACTTGATCATGGTGTGTGATCTTTTTAATGTATTGTTTGACCTGGTTTGCTAATGAATAGCATCCCTATGTTTATCAGGGAATATTGTCCTATAATTTTCTTTCCTTGTAGTGTCTTGATCTGGTTTTGGAATTAGAATATTGTAAAATGAGCGTGGGTGTTTTTCCTCTTCTTGGTTTTTTGGGAATAGTTTGAGAAGGATAGGTGTTCGTTCTTGTTTGAATGCTTGGTAAATTCACCTGTGCAGCGTAGGTCCCAGACTTTTCTTTGCTTTGATTACTAATTCAATTTTGTTGGTAGTTATCAGTCTGATCATATTTTCTGTTTCTTATTCAGTGTTAGTTCCTCTGGGATGGTGGCCCAACTGCATTTAGAAATGGCTCTGTTTATGCCATTTTTCACAAGTTCCGTGTAGTTGAGGAAATGTTTGTGCCAGGCAGGCGTGTCAGTGGCACTCAGTCCGCCAGAGCTCTGCTGTTTTTAGAGACATTTGGCTCCAGAATGACGTGTCTATGGATCATTTTCTCCTCCAGGATTCTGGAAATTTTAATGCCTGTACTCGGTGTAATGGACCCACATTTCTGCCCAGGGAGAGGGACTGTTTGTAGTCTTTGTTGCCCTAGGGCATTGTTGGAAGTATAGTCTGGAGGTGTTCCCTGTGGCCACAAGCATTCTTAAAACTGCAGGAATTAGGTGCCTGGGTTTTTACTTAAGCAGTTTACATAGGGATTGGAAGATCCTGGTGACACAGCCTCTGTAGACTCAAGAATATCTATTCTATCCTGCAGGTCTGTTCTCTGAGGGAGGAGAGTGTGGGGGGAGCAGAGGCCGAGCCTGATGCCCCGCCCACCACTCCCCAGCTGTGTGGCCCAGGCCTGGTGGTTTCATCTGGTGCCTCTGATGTCCCATCTGTGAAATGGGAATGGCAGGGCCTGCGGTGCCCGATACATTGGTGCTGTCAGTGGGGTAGCTGGCGTTCCAATGCTGAGACTGGGCAGGAGGGAAAGACTTGGATGAGGAGGGAGCTGGGAGGAATAGTTTAATAACCAGGAAATACCAGGGGGACCTGAGCTACCTCCAAAAGCCACATTTGTTCGGAGTCAGAGCATTGGAGTGGTAACTGGCTGAGAAGGGCCCCTCTGAGCCTGAGCGGGGAGGACGCTGCACTGACACTGTGGTCCCTCCAGCCCATGGAAGGTGAGCAAGCGAGTGACCTGCTGACCAGATGAGAGATGCAATGGAAGCTACGTGGAGGGGCCCCTCTGAAAAGTTTTCAGCTGGGGTCTCTTCACAAAACCTGGTAATGGGCCATCCGAGGGCTGTGACATGGAGGTGCTCCAATCTGAGCAGAATGGATGGTTGACAGTGTGTTAAGGGAGGTAGAAGCAGCGGTCTCAGGGGTCTGGGAGTCTAGGGGCAGAGGGAAGGAGGGCAGGGGCAGTAAAGACGAGAGAAGTTGGAGGGATGAGACTGCCTGTGGAGGGCTCTGGGGCCGGAAGTGCTGCCTCCAGAAGCAGAGGGATGTGTGCAATTCATCCCCTCTGATCCTACCTTTCCACCAGAGTGCGTCAGCCACCTCGGCCTTTGTACAAGGACCACAATGGACACTACCTTGAACCCACTAGTGCCTTGTTAGCTAAAACTGGTTTCTTTCTTTTTTCTTAGTATCCCGCGGAAATCAGGAAGTATGAATACGACCCAAATTTTGCAATTCGTGGACTTCATTATGATGTGCAGCGGGTAGGTTTAATCCTCATGTTTTTCTCGTTTAACGTTGTTTGGATACAATGTACTCCTGGTGCTTTTCTTTGCTCAACACATACATTGGTTTTAAATTCATCTTCTTCGGGGCCACAGAATTGGATTCTTCAAAACGTCTTTGGATAAAGGCTTTTTCAAGAGACCATGTATTAGAAAAGCATGAACGCATTCAGCAATTTGGGACATACCATTTATTTCCAGTAGTCCTTGTTGATGCGAGGAGGAGCCGGTTGTCATACCTTTCTTTGCAGATAGGCCATGTCTTTCTTTCTTTTTTATAATACTTTTTTATTTATTTCAGAGAGGAAGGGAGAGGGAAAGATATAAGCATCAATGATGAGAGAGAATCACTGATTGGCTGCCTCTTGCACACCTCCTACTGGAGATCGAGCCCACAACCCGGGCATGTGCCCTGACCAGGAATCAAACCTTGATCTCCTGGTTCATAGGTCAACATTCAACCACTGAGCCACACCAGCTGGGCTAGGCCATTTCTTTAATGAGTTGCACACTGCTTTAATTAGTAAGCAACGCTTTCAGAAACATACAGCTGCTTCCTTGTCGTAACAATTTAACTGTCGATAGAATTTATAACGGCACCCAGAGTTCTCATTCAGTGTGCAAATTGTTGTGCATTATTTACCTGTGCTTATGTTTTTGAAGGCAGTCTTGATGAAGATTGATGCTTTTCATTACATCCAGCTGGGGACTGTCTACAGGTAAGAGTAAGCGCCCTGGCTCCGACACTCATCATCCCTTCTCTCCTGGGCCCTGAGTTTTCTGCAGAGGAGTCCATCCTGGACATTGTTGCTCAACTGATGTACCTACAGCACTTTCCTCAGCTGCCCCTCCTCTCTTCTAAAATCCGGGAGGCCTCCCACACCTCTTAGGTTTTCTATCACCTCTAAACCCTTAGCTTCCCCTTTTTGCACGCACAGCTTCTTAACTTACTGGCTTGGTTAAGACTTATTACAAGTGACTGGAACCCAACTCAAACTGGGTTAGATGAAAACACAGTATTGGCTCACTGATTGAGAGGCCAGTTGCAGGTGTGGCTGGTTCCGGGGCCCAAATTGATGTTGTCAGAACTCTTTCCATTCCTTGGCTCTCTTGCTCTCTGGGTAAGTTCTCTCTGGGCAGGCCCTCCCTGGAATTATCAGGCTTCCATCCCCCCAGCTCGAGAGAAGAGCAATTTCTCTTCCCTACAGTTTCAATCAGTCTTAGAGGGAGCGGATGCTGGGCAGGGACAAACAACAGGGGTATTCCTCTCCTCTGAGTTCTCTTCTCTCCCTGCAACATCTATTCATGCTGGCGGCCATCCTACCAGGATAGTTTTCCTTTCTTTCTGCTCCTTAAAATCCCAGCCCTCCTCCAGGCCTCTCCTCACCCCTCAGCCTGAAATGGTCTTTGTCTTTGCTCTTGGCTTCTAATAGTCTTGTTTCTTCTGTAGATAAATAAGCCATTGTGTTAAGGTGTATGGGTGGGGCCAGGCAGGAGAAGCCAGCTGAGGGGCAGGAGTCTACCTTTAGATCCTGGGAAGGTCTCTGTGGCCTTAGTGCTGAGAGGGATGTGGCTGAACCAGCAGGGACCCATGTGTGGGCTCTGCAGTCACGCTTCCTGAGTGGAAACTCAGACCCCACCATTTAGGTGTGTGGCTTTGAGCAGGCTCTCGACTGTCTCAAAGCCTTGGTTTGCTCCTCTGTCAAATGGGCATGGTCCCAGTGCCCTCCTTAGGGGCAGCTTGTCATGCAGACTAAAGCATGCGTGAACGGTGCCCAAAGCACTCTAAGGCACAGATACCACTTCTCTTCCCTTTCCCCTCAGAATTGGTCGTGAATGAGTGAGTGGCTGGGAAGAACGCTTCGGTTTCCGAGGCCTGAGGCCAGATACCTTCCCAGGGGACCCAGTTGCTGCATCATGTTGAATTTTATGTCGTGGGCTGTGGGAGTGAGTGCCGCTGGGCAGGGGAGGCAGCACACTGCTCTCCACTGCAGTCCAATTTTGCACCCAAGGTTTCACTTCTTAACTGGAACCTTTGTGAAAAGCTAGGGTTGTTCCCATCACAGGCCCTTATCATGTACCAATTACTGTTCATATACAGTAACTCGTTTAGTCTTCTCAGTAACACTAGGACAGTGATGGCGAACCTATGACACGCGTGTCAGAGGTGACACGCGAACTCATTTGTTTTGGTTGATTTTTCTTTGTTAAATGGCATTTAAATATCTAAAATAAATATCAAAAATATGCATCTTTGTTTTACTATGGTTGAAAATATCAAAAAATTTCTATATGTGACACGGCACCAGAGTAAAGTTAGGGTTTTTCAAAATGCTGACACGCCAAGCTCAAAAGGTTCGCCATCACTGCACTAGGAGGTAGGTACTATTATTGTTTCAGTTTTAAAATGACACTGAGACCCAAAGAGTTAAATTCCTTGTCTAGGTAGTAAATACCCCTAGTAATTAAGGGAGGTGGGATTTGAACCCCAGGCAGACTGGTTCGGATCTGTGCTCCTAACCCTTGTATTTCTCAGAACCACATGGGTGTGTAGAGTAGTTTTCAGTGCTAGTTTACACACCCTGGGGCAGGCAGATTCCTCGGCTGCTTTTGAGCTGGCATTTAGTTACCTGGGCCTTAAGGATGCAGCTGTGTGCCCAGGTTCCTGTGTCCGTGCTCAGAGGCAGCAGTGGCTTCCGAAGGACGAGGTCAGGCCCCGTGTGGAGGCTGAGAACCCACCCGGCAGAATTCTTTTTCTTTCCAGTTGTTCAAGCCGTACAGGTGTGCACACTTGACTGCTGCTACCTTAGCAAGCGCTGCTTTCCAAGGTCACTGTCTGGAGTGATCTGGCTTCGTACCAGCGTCTTATCTGATTTCTGGAGCGGAGATAAACGGAAGTACATGGCCCCTTTTGTTTTCAAAGCTAGTACTTGTCACAAGTTAATCAAGATCGGAAGCAAACTATTTGTGATCCACTCGGATATTTTTAGAAGTCATACGGGGGTGGGTAATGGAGGAAAGAGGCTGAAATTAAACTTTCTTTAAAGTAATAGTATATCAAACGTAAATCATTTTTGTATGTATTTTAATATTGTCCAAGTGACTCGGCATTTTAAGCAACCTGTTTGTATCAGGAACTAAAATCCTTGTTGAATCACATATACCCTGCTGCAGCGCAGTGGTGCTCCCACCACCCATTCTCTGGTCCCTCCTCATGGTGTCTGCTTCTCCAGCACCTTCTTTTGGAAGCAGCGGGTAGAGGAGCTGACATTTCCCCGGTTACTCTCTAGAGGGGGACATTCCAGGTGAGGAAACTTGAGACCACCGCCCTGGGTGCAGGCATCTGCTCCCTGCAGCGCTGGCAGAGGCAGGGCTGAAATCCAGCCTCTCTGACTCCAGAACTTATTTTTTCCTGCGTGCGGAGGAGCTGGATTCATTGGCAGATTCCCCCGCAGCTCCGGAGGCAGGCGGGTGGCGGGTGTTACCTTGGCGTGTCCCGATGCGGAAACGCCTTCACTGTCACGTAGCATTGGGTCACCCCTCCTGGAGGTGGTGCCCGGGCGCCTGCCTTGTGTCACGGGGTTTGGTCCCCTGAGCCTCGTGCATGCCTTTTTCCATCTCGGCACTGACCTTAGGGTGGAGTCTCAGAGGGCACAGGGATGATGGAGACAGAGCCAGCCTTTCTCTCCTGGATGCATTAAAAACGTTTTTTTAAAAATGGAAAACTCACCTCAAAGGAAGGCATTAGAAAGCCTTGGACCTTGTTGAGGGAGGCAGTGTGGCGGAGAGGTTGGAGACCCACAAAGCCCTTGGACCCCGTCCTGACCCACCTCTTCCTACTTTACTGACCGGGGGGAAGCTACGTGAACTCTCTGTGCCTCAGTTGCCTCTGGGGGCAGAAGGGAGGCATGACAGTGCCTTTCACCTGGGATTGCAGAGAACTAAGTGAAGGACTGTGTGGAACTCAGATCTGGCGTATAGTAGGTGCCATGTGATCTGAGCTCTTATCTTTCTGCTCTTCTTACCTGTAGCGTGGCAGCAGGAGTAACAGTAGTAGCACTTTGCCTGTCGTTTGCAGCAGTTACTAGTGGCACATCGTGCCTCCTGGTGACGCCTCACACCTTGCTTGAAAATCCCCAGCACTTGCCAGGGGTGTGCCAGTCCTTGCTCTCGCTGGCCAAGCTCTTGAACTGTGCTGCCTGTGTTTCCCCAGAGGCCTCAGTGTGGTCCCTGATGAAGAAGTCATTGAAATGTACGAGGGTTCCCACGTGCCTCTGGAACAGATGAGCGACTTTTATGGCAAGGTAATGAGAAAGGCTGTATTTGGGTAAAGCAGCCTGTCTTTTTCCTCCTCAAAACATGGCCTGGGACATGGAGGAGCCTGGATCCCTAGGCTCTGGGCCTGCTCATAGGGAACTGACAAGGAACGTTGGGATTGTGTTTTGAGAGACCCAAGGTTTGAGAGAGATTAGTATGGAACAGGCCGTAGGTTCTTTCGTGATTCTCCTTTCTCAGGCCTTTCCTCCTTACCTGACCAAGGCTCCTTATGCCTTCCTGGTACCTGCCCCTGTTTGCCCCCCTCCCCCCCCAGGTGTCCCCACGTTCTGGATGAAGTCCTTGGGGGCTGTCAGTGCAGCAGCTGTCGCCTCCCCTGAGACTGAGGGCAGCAGGTCACCCTGTGCCTGAAGGGAAACCTCTGTTTTTCTAACTTTTGTGATTCTCCTTGCCCCCCGCATTTTTGCTTCTTATTAGATGCATTGCCTTACTTGCATTGTCCAAGTGCAATGGCAGATGTCCCACCAGCTGGTAAACTGTTAAAAAAGTTGGCAGCCATTCAGGGAAAGGCTCTTTTTCAAGCTCACACATAGGCTTGGGAGGTGCTCAGACTCGGGAGAGTCAAGTGGCTTTTTCTGCCTTTCCAAGGGTGTAACCTCCCTGCTCTCCTCGGGGCTCGATGGGACTGTGAGCTGGGAGTTGGACACAGCTCAGAGGGGAGTGAAAGGGGAGGGCGGTTAGACTTTGGGGAATTTCCTTGCATGTGCCACTTACGCTCAGAGTGAGACATCAGCTCCGCCTGGCTGAGAGGAACAAGGTGAGCCTTTTTTAGTCTGCATTGTTAGAGTTTTGCTTTCCGCGTGGAGAGGGATCAGGTTGACCAGCGCCCCCCCCACCCCCGCCCCCGCCCTCAGGAAAGACCGAGTCTGGCCCTGCTGGGTGTGGGCCTCGGATTCTCACTGCGCTTCCTGCCCGCAGAGCTCCCACGGGAACACCATGAAGCAGTTCATGGACATCTTCTCCCTGCCCGAGATGAGCCTGCTGTCCTGGTCTGGAAGGTCGTTCGGCTGTCCGGTCTAATTAGCCACTTGGCATTCAATATATATAGACTAGAGGCCCAGTGCACGAAATTGTGGAATGGGGTGGGGGGGGGGGGGGGGGGGGGTCCCGGCTTCCCACCCCTGGCTCTTTTCCACTTTCTTAACTAGCAGAATCCTGAGGCTCCTGCGTAGGTTAGGTGCCTGACATAGCCTTTGCCTGGGAGCGCTTGTATTTGTGATTTGTCCCTGAAAATTGTAAGATGTTTTCATTAGGAGAACTGGAAATTGGTCAAATTTGTTGTTAAAAGAAGAGGGCGCTCATATTGTTACCTGGATTTCTTAATTCTTTCTGAGGCCAGAGGGATGAGTGGTGACTGAGGTCTAGCTCTACCCTGAGCCTGGCCAGCGGCTGGGTGGCTCTACACAAAGACGGGCATTTGAGTCTCAGGCTGTGGCCCAGGGACGCAGCTGCCCACAGGAGGCGCTATTGTCTCTGGCACACAGAGGTGCCATGCAGGCTCCTGGAGGCCCTGCAACAGCTGTGGAAATCTATTCGGAAGGGGAGAAAGATCAACATAAATATTTTATGCATATACACACCTCATTTATATAACTCTGTATTTATATGTTTTAATTCATAGTCACATTTTAATATTCTTTAAACTGAACTTTTTTCAGTACTTAAAAATGTTTATGTTATTTAATATGGTTTTCTTATATATTTCTAAGCATGTGATAGAAATATATTTATATGAAATACTAGAGGCCTGATGCACAAAATTCGTGCAAGAGTAGGCCTTCCTTCCCCTGGCTGCCGGCACTGGCTTCCCTCGCAGTCCCAGGTTTGTCTGGAAGGTCGTCCAGAAGGATGCCTGGTCTAATTAGCATATTATGCTTTTATTATTATAGATAATTTATATATAATACATATTTATTGAAATATATGTATTTTTAAAAGATCCATATTCATTCCTACAGTATTTTTTATTATATGTTTATGACTAATTTAAAATTTTGACCGCCCTGAATCCTGGGTTTTAGGCAGATAAAAGATGAATTATAGTTTTTCAATATCAATCTGGTGTTCTGTGAACTGAATTTAAATAGTTTCTAATTTCCTTTTCTTGCACACAAATACTTCATTTGTAAGAATATTTAAGTATCACTTGTAGTTATATAACCCCTTGCACTCGTGAGGAGAGATGTTTATTTAAAAGTTTAGTTTTTACTATTAGTGTGACGACCACCAACAGTGAACACATATGCTGAGTTTTCTGTGTTCTGGGCACTGTTCTTCTTAGTGCTTTATGCATATTAACTAATTAAACCCTCAGAATAATGCCTTGAAATAGAAACTGTTATTGTCACCCTCATTTTATAGATAAATTGAGGCACAGAGAGGTTGAGTAACTTGCCCATGGTCACACAGCTAGTAAATAGTAGAGTCTAGATTTTAAGCCGGGAAGTTTGGTTCTGGCTTGCTCTTAGCCATTGCCTTCTGCTGACGTGATGGCAAAATGAGCCTGTACTGGAAGGGGATCGAGGTTGAATTTACAGCCCAGAGTGCTCACGCTTGACAGAAATCTGCGATTTTCTAAGGCTTATGGCCCAGTTTGTCCACAATCCAGTCCCCTGTCACCGGCTCTGAAAGTTTCCAGGTGCCACCTGTGTAGAGGACCTTCTTGGTGCCACCAGAGAGTGGGGCTGTGCTCTGACACCTGCCAGGCATCAGGCTGCCACACTCCTGGGCCTGCCAAAGGGTTAGCTGCTTCCCCCTCCTCGTGTCCGAGGGCTAGACCACATCTCTGCCCGAGTCAGCATCCCCACTGGCAGTTCTCCCTCATTGGTAGCACTGAAGAGAGGCAGGTCCATTCTCTTGTTGTCTCTGCCTCTTTCCTAGATGACTGAACCTGCTGTTGGGGTCTAGGGGAGGGTGAAAAGAACAATAATGCCTTTTGCCCGGATGGCCTGGAATCATTTGTTCACGATCCTGCATATAAATTATGGTTTATCATGTGAAGCTTTTTTTCCCCCAGAAATTATCCACACAAATTATCTGCTCCCAGTGACCCTCTTGCAGATTGCATTGAGAACTGCCACTATCACCATGGAAACTTACGTTTTCCCCATGGGGGCCACCTCTGACAAATGGGCCAAGATTTAGATTTCATTTAGTGCTTGGATTGCAGGCTCCTCGCGACAGAGTGCCATTTCACTTGTATTGCTACTCAGGCCAGTACACTCACAGATTAAAAACGTTATCTTTTGACAGGATGCAATTCGAGACGTGCACATCAAAGGAATCATGTACCGAGCCGTGGAAGCAGACATTGGTACGTGTTTGGCATTGCCACGAAGTCGTTCCAGGCTGCCCCTCCCCCATGGCCCGCTGCAGGCATCATACTTTAACTGCAGATGCTGAGCAGACTAGCGCCTTGCTGAGTGCTGGGCAAGGGCCCTGCATCCCCACCTCTCAGCCGTCTCCCTCCCCTTTGACATAATCCTGACTCAGAAGGAGAGGCACTGGCAGCTGAAGTCCCTTAGTTTTTCCCCTTAGGTCGAGGAGGTGGGGGTCTTGGCTACTGATGCACCGGACACTGATAGACCACCCTGACCCAGGCTCCCGTAACACTGCTTTCTCTTCCCCCCCATGTGCCCTGGACAGCGCTGGGCCCGCAGGCCCCATTCAGCAAGCACTGGCCGACTGAGTGGGCCTCGCGCTGAATCTGTGTGTGCATTTTTCTCTTGCTCTTAGATAAGTACATCTGCTACGCCGAGCAGACCCGCGCGGTGCTGGCCAAACTGGCTGATCACGGCAAGAAGATGTTCCTCATCACCAACAGCCCCAGCAGCTTTGTGTAAGTCCTGAGTTTCCTGGCTGGCTTCTGGCTCACTTCTTGGATTGCATGTCATAGTGGAAGTTTGCAAGAAAAAGTTGCAAAAACAGTTAACCCCTTCAGTGCTAGACTAACGTGGCCGGCGTGTTGTTTAGGGACAAAGGGATGAGCTATATCGTTGGAAAGGACTGGCGGGACCTGTTTGACGTGGTCATCGTTCAGGCCGAGAAGCCGAGCTTCTTTAACGATAAGCGGAGGTGAGTGCCTGCCTCTCCAGGGGACTAGGTTTTCCTCATTTGCTGCTGTGAATGCTTACGATGGAGCGATGGAGCGATGGAGTGTGTCTTGGTGAAATCCGGTTGGAAATCACAAGCATCTGCCATCAACACCTTTGATTTTAAAGTCGTCTAGCAAGTGCTTGTGAGGAGAGTGAGATTTGTGCATAGCAGACATCTTACACAAATCAAAATGGATCTCAGTTTGGGCTGCTTCAGTCCTCTTGGTCAGGCTTTCAGAAATTGATTGATAACAATGAAAAATGCAAACTTACTCTCACAGAGTATATTAGATCTCTCGATGCAGATGCATCGTGAAGTATAACAAAACAGCAGCAACAAACCACCTGGTGGGTAGCTCTTTTGAGCTGCAAACGGTACCTTTAAAATTGCAGTTGGAATTTGCAAAACTCTCTGCAGCACAGGTTTTGCATCAGGTGGAGTAAATTTCTTCCAAGACTTATAGAGTGTCTTTCTGCCCCAGTAGTCTTGGGAAACGGGAGCCATTATATATCTGACCCTGGGGTTCTTTCTCTACTACAAGTCCTTGGACCCAGGGATGGGGTGTGGGCGGTGGGGGTGGAGCCACAGTTTGGGAGACCTTGCCCTGGGAAGGGGAATGCCGGAGTTGTTTTCAGAGATTTATCAGGTTCGGGCAGCCCCCTTCTGTTCCCAGTGGGTAACCACGTGGTGTTTCACACAGCAGGCCGCCTGCACAACCGCCACCCTCATAACGACTCCCGTTTCTGTTCTTAGACCTTTCCGAAAGGTGAATGAAAAAGGTGTTTTACTCTGGGATAAAATCTACAAGTTGCAGAAGGGCCAGATTTACAAGCAGGTACCGCATGACCCGTTTATCCCTTTGGCTGCTTTGCTGTGCATGGTCAGTAATGATGACAGTTCACCGAGGTTCACTCGGGGCTGGCAGTGCTCAGTGGTCTGCCCGGTGGACTGTTTATGACTTGGTGGCAGAATTTAAGTTTAAGTCAGTATCTACATCAACTCAGAATTGAACAGTTTCTTTTTTTAATTTTTAATATATTTTATTGATTATTTTACAGAGAGGAAGAGAGAGGGAGAGGGATAGCGAGTTAGAAACATCGATGAGAGAGAAACATCGATTCAGCTGCCTCCTGCATGCCCCCCACTGAGGATGTGCCCGCAACCCAGGTACATGCCCTTGACCGGAATCGAACCTGAGACCCTTGAGTCCTCAGGCCGACGCTCTATCCGCTGAGCCAAACCAGCTAGGGCCGAACAGTTTCTTAAAATGAAATGGAAAGCATTACTTTTCATAGTAAATAACAATTAAGATATCGGTAGCAAAGCTTGGAAATGTCTTCATAAGAAGCATTTAATCACATGGCATAATTATTTCGTGACAAGCTATGTCTTAATCTACAGTTTTAATATATTTTGATATTATATAAGGCTTGCAAATATTTGAATAAATGATTGACTTGCTGACTATTATTGTGTTACTGAAGTAAGTTTTTTTTTTTAATGTATTGATACATTCCTGGTGGGTTTAGAACAACCTTGGCATTAAGTATATATAGTAGGCCTTGAAAACTTAGCTTTGAAAAGCCATTCCACTTCTAGGAAGTTAGCCCAAGAAAATGATTAAGATGTAGCTAAAACCCTACTATAAGAATGACATTACTTACAAAATAGGTAACAAAGTAAATGATAACAGGGAATTTGTAAAATGGATTATGGTACTTCTCAGGAATGGAATTACATGGCAGGTTAATATTTTACCTGGGAATACAGCCATAGCCTGCTAAGTGTGAACAGATGGTCACAAAGAGGCATATACAATATGAACCCTTTTTGAAAAGTACATCTGACGTAGAAGAAATGCCTGAAAGGTTTCACACTAAGATGTTTTTGTCTTTATATTTTGTTATTTAAAATAAGTTATAAAAGCAAAATAATTTTTTTGAAGTTTAAAAAAAAATAGGTATTTTGGGCCATGGGTTATATAAGAGCTTCTCTCTGTCACAGGAGATAATATCTGTATTTTCCTTATTGCAGGGCAATTTATATGAATTTTTGAAGCTTACTGGATGGAGAGGATCCAAAGTGTTATATTTTGGTGACCATATATACAGTGACCTGGCGGTGAGAAGAGCCTTTTTTTTTTCTATTTCTTCACTGGGGGACAGACGTGTTAGTCCCACTTACTAAGGAATTTTTCTTTTGGTTAAGACCATTTTTATGCTTTCATAAAGCGAGGAGTAGGTCACATTTTTAATGCCTTATATTTTATAGAACAGGATGGATCAGTCATGAAAAAGACACATTTTTGGGGGGGAAATGATGGAAGTTAGCAGTTGACTCAAAGTTTAATCAGAAAATCTTTCCATTTAAGTAATGGTAAGAAATAAATGCCAGTGCTCTTTTCTTTTCAATTTATCAATGCGTCAGAACCACACAACTGCAGCATAAAGGCTTAAGGCATCAGTCAGGGCTCCGTTGCCAGCCTGTCGCTTTAGATGCGTTAAAAACTCACCTTTCTCAGAAACAGCCCTTAAGAGAAACGAGGCTTTTCATGCCATTGGAATGACTAGAGGAGATTGCAGGCCTTGAATTGTGCTTGAACTTACAGTTAGAACAATATGTCATTGGAGCTAGACGGGTCGGTCCCAGTGCCTGTGTGTAGTGAAATCTCCTCAGGTGACTCCTGCACACACCAGCGTCGTCCCGTCTGTCTATGAGTAGAGGTCTAGTGGAAGGAACCATGGGCTCAGATTAGAAGACTGTAGTTTTTACGCCAGTTCTACTGTTTACTACCTGTGTGACCTTGAACACTTCTCTTAAGCTCCTATGTCCTCATTTGTAAAAAGTGTGAAATAAGATAATGTATATAACAGTGCTTCATAAACTAGAAATATAAAGTGTCACTATCAGGATGTCGGCACCCCCAGAATGTCTAGCCACGGGACATGGCATCACCGTGGGTGTTTGCCTCTTGCTAGGTGGGGTCTTCGGGCCTGATGAGATGCTGTGTACTGGCCTTAGGTCATGTGGGTACATGGCCCTGTGACGTCTCTCTCTCTCTCTCTCTCTCTCTCTCACACACACACACACACACACACACACACACACACACACACACACGTCTGGGTGTGGTCTTGTGGCATGAGCACCACTGGGACCACTGGGACCTTGTAAGAAATGCAGATTCTCAGCCTCGCCCCAGACCTACGGAGTTAGCAACTCTGGGGGTGGTGCCTGGCCATCTGTGTTTTAACCAGCTTTCCACACTAGAATTTGCTATCGGTAGTGCTGACCTCAGAGTGAGTTAGGAAGGACCCCCTCCTCTTTGATTGTGGGAGGAGTTTGAGAGGGATTGATACTAACTCATCTTTCAGTGTTTGGTTGAATTCACCAGGGAAGCCATTTGGTTGGAAGTGTTTGGATTACTAATCCAATCTCCTTACTAGTTAGAGGTCTGTCAGATTTCCTGTTGCCTAGTGATTCAGTCTTTGCAGGTGTGTGTCTCTAGGAATGTCCGTTGATCTAGGTCAGTGGTCCGCAAACTGTGGCTCGGCAAACCGCGGCTTGTGAGCCACATGCGGCTCTTTGGCCCCTTGAGTGTGGCTCTTCCACAAAATACTGGCTCTTCCACAAAATACCGACTTCTGAGTATGGGCCATGAAGTTTCAATCGTATTTTGTGGAAGAGCCACACTCAAGGGGCCAAAGAGCCGCATGTGGCTCTTGAGCCGTGGTTTGCCGACCACGGATCTAGGTTATCCAGAAGGTGGTGGCATACAAAAGCTCAGAGTACTCTTTTTAAACCTGTTTATTTCTGTAGAATCGGTAGTAATGGCACCACTTAAATTTCTGATTTTACTAAGTTGAGTTCCTCTCTTTTTTCTTAGTTATGCTAAAGGTTTGTCAATTTTGTTGATCTTTTCGAAGAACCAACTCTTGGTTGTGTTGATTTTTTTTGCTTTGTCTTCTATTTCTGATGTAATCTTTATTTTTTCCCTCTGCTAACTTTCAGTTTACTTTTTCTAGTTCCCTAAGATACAAAGTTAGGTGATTTGAGGCCTTCTTTAGCGTCGGTGTTTATAGCTCTAGATCTCATCCTCAGTTAGCTTTTGCAGCACCCGTAGGTCTGGGTGTGTTGTGTTTGCATTTTGATTTGCCTTGAGGTATTTTCTAATCTCCCTTGTGATCTCTTCTTTGACCCATTAAGAGTGTTGCTCAGTTTCCACATAGTAGTGAATTTTCCAGTTCTTTCTTCTGCTGTTGAGTTCTAGTTTCATTCCTTCTAAGTAGAAAAGGTGCTTTTTTTTTTTTTTAAACGATTTCACCCTTTTAAAATTTGTTAAGACCACTTGGCTTTGTGCATTTACTTGCTTATTTGTCATTTGTATTTCCCATGAGGGCAGGGATGTGTCAGTTTTTGTTTATTGTTTTATCCTCAGTTTGTAGAAATGGGCCTGGCAAATAGGACTTGATAAATATTTGCCAAATGAGAAAATGAATGACCTTTTAGTACAGTGATTGCGTATCTTAGATTTTCTGGGGACATAACTGACATCAGATCGTTTGGCCTATTGTCAGCTCATAGGGTTATAATATTGGAATGAAAAATATGATCATGTGTGTGTATGTTGTGTGATCATTCCAAGTCTGATATTCCACGGTTCCCCATGACCCGCGAGGCCTGGTGCCCAGTGGGTGTTCCCTGCCGTCTGTGGATGAATAGTATCGTGGTCCATCCTCTTTCTGCCCCTGACCTAATTGTTGTTTTACAGGCCGTGGATAATGATTCCAGACCTGAGTGTCTGCAAGGGCTGTGACTTACAGCAGTTATTTCCAGAACAAATTTTCTTGGGGTGAAATGATCAAAGCCCTAGGCTAACTTGGGTTTAATGGCATGTAATTCATTGAATTCGGCTTGGTTAATAACTAACCATTATAATGAAAAAGTAATTCAATGAGTGCCCGTTGTGTCTGGGACAGGTCATGCAATGACTTAAAGTCCATTGAGATTAATGTTGACTCTCTGTGATCTTTGTGAGCAGGACTTGACCCTGAAGCATGGCTGGCGGACTGGTGCCATCATCCCAGAGTTACGGTCTGAGCTCAGAATCATGAACACGGAACAGTACATCCAGACCATGACCTGGCTGCAGACGCTGACCGGGTTACTGGAGCGAATGCAGGTTTGAGATTTCTTTCTCTCCTCCTTTTTCTGTAAGTCTGAAGTTAGTGCACTGGCCAGTGTTAGATATTCTCTAATTGTGGTTACAAAGTATGAGGCATAAGTCATCCTGCAGAATAATTACGGGGATTATTTTGCCCCTAAGAGTTTTGTGAATTTCCCTGAAGAGACCTTTCTCAACGCCCCCAAAGCCATTTGGAGAAAAAGGCCTTCATTTACATTCCTCTGTCTGGAATTCCAGTGGCCTCACTCCCACCGCAACCCCTTGGGGAGATGTCCTGTGGGGGTGGGATTCGAGAGCCTCTGCCTTCCTTTGGGTCTAGTCCTGCTTCTGCCATTAGCCTGCAGTGGTCTTCTCCGTCTGGTCCTCAGTTTCCCCTTCTGCAAAATGAAGGGTCCTGTGGAATGAACACTCAGGCTAGGCACCACCGCTTCCTGGAAAGTCTCCAAGCAAGAGTCAGGGCCCCTGGGTGCAGTCTCCACTTGCTTTTGAAGATAATACCTACAGTTGGCTGGCTCACTAGAGAGCAGTGGTGGGTTTTTCTTCCCATAAGTCACATACTCGGTTTTTCTGTTTTTTTTTGTGGTGAATTCCTGGCCTGTGAAGATGTTACTCTGTGGCAGCTGTGACCCCTTTTCCAAGCTCATGAGGCACCTTGCTTTCTCGCTTGGTTCTGCTGGCCAGGCCTTCAGCCCTCTCAGCGTGAGGGCCGACTCAGGATAAGGGGCACTGATGCGCTCTCTTGGCCAGTGCACCCGCAGCCTCTGCCCACGGCCTGCCAGCCCGCTTTGGAAATGGCCAGGGAACTGTCTTGCCTGGCCCAGCTGGCAGCCTGTGTGAGCTCAGGCAGAGCTGCGAGGGGAGGCAGGCCAGGCCCGCACTCCAGGGTGCCCACACTGCAGAGCACGGGGCCCGCACTGCCCGGTCTTGCTTCTACGTGCTCCGGCTCCATTGGTTCTTGACTCTTCTCTGACAAGGACTTGTTCTGTTTCCTGCCCGTGCTTGTCTGTGAGATGGTTTTCTAAAAACAAAAGGCATCGATTCTGGGTTAATGTAGCTTCAAGTCTGTGCAAGGGTCATACAGTAATATGCACATGTATGTACACATATGGGTATATATGCACGAGAGTACATGTGTATGTATACATATTTGTATATATATATGCATGTGTATATACATATATATGTCTAAATAAATTACTTGTGACACTCTACAGATTTTTTATCTAGTCACGTACATTGTAGAGTTTAAATTCTATAGTGAGTGATTTCTTAATTGAAATGTCAAAGCTATTTAAACTATACTCACAAAACCATCAACACCCCAGGAAGTGCCGGGCCAGCTGTCCGGTCTCCAGTGACACGGCCATGGTCATTCAGCGTAGCTGCTGCCTGCTGGTGTAGGCAGTGGTGTTGGGCAAGAAACCCAAATTGCAAGCTCAGGGTTTTATCTGAGTGGCAGAGACCCTGAGCGCGTGCCTGTTGGCCAAGCTGGTGAGCTGGGCAGACGTGGTAAACAGAAGGGCCTTGGCTCCCACGTCAGAGGCAGATGGTTTGTTTGGACTTTTCCTCCGGGCCCGAGGCTGCCCCGTGACTGTGAAGGGCAGGGAGCCACCTGTCCCCTGCGGTCACACGGGCCTCTGATTCTGGCTGAGCCTCCTGTTCGGCCACGGGAGCCTCGCAGAGAGACTTGTGAGATTCCATTGTTAGGTTGTGGGCGGTTGCCATGTTCTTGGTGCCTTTGCTCCTATTTCAGCCCAACCAGAGAATTCTCTGCTTTCCCATCTGGCTGAGGTGCTACGCCTTTTTGCCTTTTACAAAAACATTTTTTCCCCTTAAACGTGTTAAAAGATATTACAATATTAAGGAAGACAGTGTAAAACAAATTATAATTCTACTACCCTTGCATAAATTAAAGATTTTATGTTAATTTCTTAATATATGCACATATTTTCAGGTGCTTCCAATTAGTGGATGTACCTGTTATTTCCACTTACCTGCCATTTTCATGTTGATGTATATGCATAATATATACATCATGTGATAGATAGTATGTAGTAAGTATATGTTCTATAGGTAATACCTATGTGTAATGGCCCTGGCTGGTTTTGGCTCAGTGTTTAGACCGTCAGCCCGCAGACTGAAGGGTCATGGGTTCAATTCCCAGTCAAGAGCATGTACCTCGGTTGCAGGCTGATCCCTGGCCCTGGTTGGGGTGCGTGCGGCAGGCAACCAGTTGATGTGTCTCACATTGATGTTACTCTCTCTCCCCCTTCTCCCCTCCACTTTCTCTAAAAAACAAACAAAAAACAATGGAAAAAATATCCTTGGGGTAGGATTAAAAAACAATATGTGTAATGGGTACATTACACACATGTACAGTATACACATAGACTTTATGTAATTACATATGCACATGTTTATACATATCCTTTAATAATACTTTACTATTTCTTTTAATAGAGGCCGTGTTTAATATCTTCATAATATCCAGTTTCATTTGTTGAACCATGGTTCTGTTGTTGGACATTCAAAACTGTTTTGGTAAAGAAGGGAGGGTTGCAACTGGGAAGTCTGAAAATGTATTATTTCATGCAAGTGCCCATCTCTCAGACTTGAATAAATTTGTTCACGAGGAAAGCTGCCCATTAAAAATTCTTATTACCTACTGAGTTTATTTGCTTCCAGAACATTCTCAGTAATTGGCTTGTGTCCTGTAGGTACACAGAGATGCGGAGTCCCAGCTGGTTTTGCGGGAGTGGAAAAGGGAGAGGAAGGAGATGAGGTAAGAGCATCCATCCTGAACATATGGCGTCCGCCACCCTGACATGCTCACCTCTGGCCCAGGCATACTTCCAGACGCCCTTTTTAGCTCCCAGGCATGACTGACCGCCTGTGGCCAGAGCCACCCACCCCTCTGCTGTCAGTGAGGGATGTGTGACGTTTCTTTGAGGCAGCAGTGACCTCCTGTACACCTGCCCTTGCATTTGTTTGTTTCTTTTTAAAAAACCAAACAAACGTGCTCTTCCTTCTCTCACCTAAACAGACATACGTATCTTGATTCCACATTCCCTGCCAGGCCCCATCCAATGTGAAGGCCAGGGGAGGAGGAGCCTGCCTTCCCACCCCCGCCTGCTTGGCTTTCCTATTTGGGCAGCCGGGGGCCCACGTGTTGGTGATGCTGGCCACACAGCGTGGCTCCCGGGACAGTATTGGAGGCGGGCCCTGCACCACAGTGAATTCCTGGGGCCCGTCCAGCCCTGGTGCTCATCCGTAACCATGGCTGTTTCAGGAGCGTGCCCGCACTCAGTGTGGTGGTGTTGACTGGTGAATGCCCGCCTGCTCCCCAAAAAGTTGGGCAGGTGTGTGTCTTAAGGGGATGGTTATTCAAATGGCCCCTGGATAGCTCTACTTCCCTGAGAGGATGTGCAGTGTGGACACTGGTTACAGGATCACTTCTGCTCTTGTGTATGGCTGCCCCTGCCCTGGGCGCAGCTGCCTCTAAGGCTGGAAGGCGCAGCCCTGCCTGGGCACGGAGAGGGACGGAGCCCCTCCCTTGGGGCTACAGAGGCCTGGCTGTACTGACTCATCCCTCTCAGGGTCTTGGCGTATTCAAATTTAATTATCACTCTAACTTTGGTGGGAAAATGTTGGGGGAGAGGGTGATGGGCAAGTTTTGTGATTTCATTCTGGGCCCCTCATCCCCTGCACTCCCGGGACCTGATTATTAGATAAAGGAACCATTTCATTTGCCAGAGATTTTTGCTTTGATTTCAAGTTTCTAACAACTTTACATCTCAGTAAGATTTTAAAAATAGATATATATTTTTATTGATTTCAGAGAGGCAGGGAAAGGGAGAGAGAGAAAGAAACATCAATGATGAGAGAGTATCATTGATCAGCTGCCTCCTGCATGCCCCCTTCCTGGAGCCTGCAACCCAGGCATATGCCCTTGATGGGAATCGAGCCTGGGACCCCTCAGTCTGCAGGCCAATGCTCTTTCCACTGAACCAAACTGGCTAGGGCTCATTGAGATTTTTTAAGTAAAAGTTTAAATATTTATGTCACTCCACCCACAGATCTAGTTGAGTTCTTTTAATTTTCTGCGTTTTGGTTATCAACTTCTGTCACCAGTTGAGGACAGAGTGCTCTGACCAGCCAGTGGCCTTTATCACACCGTTGTGTAAATGATTATTATTATTTTTTGCTGTTTCTGCAACTGATTAACAGTCGAATGGTATTTAGCCATTTTGCTGGAATATTCTGTGTCCAGGGGTCCTAGCCATCAGATAGTGTGCTTATTCCGCGGACGTGTGATAGGTGTTGATTTACACACACATGCACATGTGTCCACCTGCAGGGGCTTAGAGCCTGGGGTCGGGCAAACAACCTTGCAAAATGCTTATCACCTAGCCAGTGGTCGGCAAACTCATTAGTCAACAGAGCCAAATATCAACAGTACAACGATTGAAATTTCTTTTGAGAGCCAAATTTTTTAAACGTAAACTATATAGGTAGGTACATTGTTATTAACTTAATTAGGGTACCCCTAAGGCTTAGGAAGAGCCACACTCAAGGGGCCAAAGAGCCGCATGTGGCTCGTGAGCTGCAGTTTGCTGACCACGGACCTAGGCTTCCAGGAGGCAGTGAGGTGTTTGAAGCCGAGCAAGGGATGGTGGAGACTGACTTGCGTCACTACAGAAAAATTCTTCATTTCCCAAGAATCAAAACTACTTCAGAGTTTACAGAACGCTTTTCTTTTCTTTTTCAATCCTCACCCGAGGACATTTTTCCATTGATTTTTTTTTTTTTTAAGGGAGAGGGGAAGAGAGAGGGAAAGACAGAGAGAAACTTGGATGTGAGAGAAACACATCGATGGGTTGCCTCCTGCATGAGCCCTGACCAGGGAGGGCCTGGGCTGGGAGAAGCCTGCAACCAAGGTATATGTCCTTGACCGGAATCGAACCCGGGACCCTTTTGTCTGCAGGCTGACGCTCTATCCACTGAGCCAAACCAGCTAGAGCTATTTTTCTTACCTTATTCAGTTTTTGCTATAAACTTGTAAAAAAGGGGCGGGGGGTCTTGATCCCATTCTGTAGATGAGGGAATTTTGGAGACTGGGACACTCACATCTCTCTGTGTAGTTTTAGAAGCAGTTCCTGCTTTTCTCCTTCTGAGAGTGTGGTGTGTAGGTGTAGAGGGGCAGACACATGAACACTGGAGCCTCAAACAATACTCCCAGGGGGGTCCCAAGGGGAGGTGTGATCGTCATTTGGGTGGATGGGTGGACAGGCGGTTTTCCTCCCCGATGAGCTCTATGAAACTGTTTTGGTTTCAATAACTTGAAACTTTTCTGAATCATTGTCTGCCGCACCCCTCTTTTCTTGCTCCTTCAGAGAAATGAACAAAAGTTTCTTCAACGCCCACTTTGGAAGCTTGTTCCGCACAGACCAGAACCCCACCTACTTCCTGAGGCGCCTGTCACGGTTTGCCGACATCTACATGGCGTCCCTGAGCTGCCTGC